GTCATCATTAATGTCTGTAGTTCTTTGTGCCGGGATGGGACCTTGTAAGAGTTCTCTCATCCACCTTGGCAGAATTGCTTTCTTTCACCATATGTTTTCACCCTTCTCCATTTCGACTGCCCTAGAGTATCAGGAGAGATTTCCAGAATTGTAACTACATAGTATTTTATGTCCAAATCATTTTTGAACCATTAAATCAAATCCTGGAATGATAGGATGTATGAATCTTCATATTTAAATATTCCATAATGAATGCTAAAGTGTAACTACTATCAAAACATACTTGTCTAAAGAAGAAAAAAACATGGCTTCTACTTTATGCTACACGCTCTGCCTAGCTTAATTTTCATTATTAGCTAAAAAGTATTACCTTAATTTAGTAGAATGATAAACCAAATACAGACTTAGAAGCAAAATAAATATTAGTCCAATCCAAACACTTAGCAAATTGCAGGAGATCCTAAGGCCAATGCTAGACACCAATAGCTGGCCTCTCCTCATGCTACCCATGCCTCACGAACCCTGTTATCTATAGTGCTTTAACTCATTTTTATTTCTAATTATCAATATGTATTTGTAGCTTATGTAAAGCAACAGAATAGTTAGAAAACACGTATTTACAAAGAAGCTAATATCTTGTGAGACAACCTAAAGTATTTGTGAGCAACCACAATGTGGTTCTAAATGATTGGGATTTTTTTCTCTAAAATTTTAATACTTATATTTGTATAAAATGCCCATTATGAGCATAATTAAACATGTCATAGGGAGGAACCTGTGGGAAAGTCTCTAAAAACTGACAGTCCACACTTCTGGTCCTCTAAAGTCGATGCACTCATTTTCTCCCACTGAAAAGTTACTAATACGAGTGTATTAAAGTTTTTCCAGTTCTGTATTGTAGCTGCCAACAGATAAAGGACAATCCCTGTGAGTGTGCATGAGACATGGAAGTGACTTAAGTTGGAGACTTTAAATGTTCAAAGCCCAGTGCTTTAAAATTATGTGGTTTACTTAAAGGGATCACAGGCCTCTCAGGACAACCTATGCTTTGTGATACAGGCATATTTGTTTTCAAGTTCTCAACTACTCACTCTTTAAGGGCCAGCTATATGGCTCAGCACGTGAAAGCACTTGCTGCATAGGCCTGATGACCGGAGTTTGATCCCTGTAACCCACATAAAGCTGGAAGGAGAGTACTGGCTCCACAGTGTTGTGCTCTTATCTCCACATATGTGCTGTGACATATGTTCATACAAATACACATTAAAGAATTAAAGTGGTTTCCTAAACCGAGAATGTCAAGTCCATAACGGATATCTGGATTGCCCAAATTTTCTCTCTCACTTACCACATATATTTTTTGCTATTTACACCTCATAAGCAATATCACATTCTTACTGAAATGCTGTATATCTATCTGTATCTTTTTTTTTTTAAATCACTGCACAGGTTTTATTTGCTGTACTCAGAAAGCTAAACTTCTGTATGTTGTATGGTTAGAAAAAAATAAGGCATTATATTTCATTTTCTGTAGCCCAGGCTGGCCTTGAACTCACAGAGATCCACCTGCCTCTGCCTCCCGAGTGCTGGGATTAAAGGCGTGTGCCGCCACCGCCGCCCAGCTGGCATCTTATTTTATAATGTACCACTTACTCTGTCTCATCTCTTTGATGAAATGTAAAACTTCAAAGCTCTGAAAAGATCCTCTACACAATATAGTTTAACATATAATTAACATGCTTCGAACAGAATCCCCTTAAATATGACACCATTGGCAGCTACAACAGTCTAGTTTCAATTGTGCTTATATATGCTTTTATGTGTATGCATGGTTATGTGTGAATGAAACTAATGTACATGCGAAAATCATTCAACCTCAGGAGCCATTCCTCAGAAGTCGCCTACCTTGGGTTTTTCTTTTTTTTTTTTTAAATACTTCTTTTTTAAGATTTTTCTCACATAATTATTTTGAGACAAGTCTGCTACTGGGATCTGAGATTCACAAATTCACTGAGGATGGATATCATCCATCCACAGGCATTTCCCTGCCGCTGCCTCCTCAGCACTGGGAATGCAAAAGGTTACCACCACATATGGCTTTTGATATGGGTGTTAGGGGATGAACTCCGGTCCTTCTGATTTCATAGGAAACACTTTACTGACTGAGCTGTGACACCAGTTTTGAAGTTCATCATGGCTTCCGTGCTATGGGTTGTCACGCTTGATCATTCATCTTCTAATTGATTCCCTAAATTCAAAGTAATAAGAAATTCTAATTTCCTACACAAATCTAGAAGATAGTTTGGATGCCAACAGATCAGTTAAAATACTGTTTAAAACTCTCTTTTCTATATCCTATAGTTTGGTAGAAAGCAGGAGCAGCAACGTGGAGTTAGGTGGTTGATCTGCCAATAGTGAAATATAAAGGGAAAATTGCAGGCTGACTTTATGTAGTCTTGAAAAAAAATAATTTCAGTGTAACAGCTTGTGTGAAACCCTTGATCCTTGAATGGAGTTTTCTGAAGACAGCTACAGCATATATTACTGAGAAGAAGATGAGACAGAGGGATGAGATTTCCTGAGACACAGTCACCTAATGATGACATCAGGCCATGGACCTGTTGCACACAGTGCTGAAGAGGTATATAGGATCAAGGACATATCTCCAGTATCTGTGAGAATGCTGATAAACAAAAAATAGAAATTTTCATATTTCTGAAGAGAATATTATTTAAATTTGTTCTTACTATAATGTTAAAGTAAATCTAGATTTACCACCAAATGTACAGAAATTTTATAATGTATTTAAAAAACATTTCCTTTCTCTAAAATGTAGATTACAATAAAGACGACAGATGATATGGGACTGAGGTAACTATCAACTCTACCAACTTCAGTTTTATGGTAATAAAACCCCATCTTTTATAAAAGTTAAGGAAGTCTATCCACTGGGCTTCAGTAGCCAAGAAACCCTTGGTAACTCTAACCTTTCCTGCTGATACTCAGTGTCCTGCCAGGGAGCAATATTTAAGTAGCATAGTGACTGGTAGATACATTTTCCTGGAATCCTATTTAAAACTTATGTCACTTATCTTTTAGATTTTTCTCATGAGTACCATGGGAATGAAATTTACTGAATAAAATAATTTCTTCTATTTTTTCTAGCCATCTAGCAATTATCTTAGTTCTATATACAAAAGATTGCATAATTTGCCAGAATAATAGATTTTCATGCTCAATGATAAGTTAAATTATGATATCAAACCAAGACAAGCATCCCTAGCATAGAAATTTCCAGAAAAATTCATATTATTTGAGTAATTAATCATTCAATATATATATTATATATATTTGCAGAGTCCATATTAATGCCTAAAACTACCAAAATACCATAAAATTAAAAAAGGATCATTTTTTCTTCATATTATTATGTATTAGCTATAATTGCATTATCACTTATTTTATAGAAAGCCTGTATTTACAAGATGATTAAAATTAATCCTTCTCCTCAAGAACCATTAGTATAAATGGCTCAGGGCAATAACACAAATAACAAAATGTGTTTCATAAGCACAAAACTGGAAAATGCACAAATTGTACACCTATTCATTTTTGACAGAGTATATTTTTCAATTACTAAGACCTGGAGATGAAAAGTAGTATGAACTTAAAATGTTTTAAATGAGTTAGAGGTTAGAGTTCCTGAAAATAAGTTTCTAATGCCAAATCATTTTTTACAATTTTTTTTTCTTATTTGGGCTTCTTCCTGATCCACCCAGAAATTTCTGTTCCTGAATTTCCTAATGTACTGATGATTAGTAATGTAGAACTTAATATGCCTGGCAATAGGCTATATGGAGCGAAGATTGGCTGCAAGCTTTCATAGTGTATCTTACAATCTACCTTCTTTCTCGGAGCCTTACCTTTGGATGTCATTAGGTATAAATTTCCCAGTTTTGATGAACTATAATGTTGTAAATATATATATATATATATATATATATATATATATATATATATTCATAGTTATATTTCTAGGTCTGGAAATCCATGAAACAATCCATAATACAGGACAGCCAAGCTTTCCTATGTGGAGGTTTTCCTTTCATCCCGTTTCTTAAATGCTTCCAATCTGACCTGAGTCACCAAACAAATTTGCTTGCGTGCTGTTTCATTTTGCATTCTTCTTTCTGTTGAATTCAGCTGATGCTATGTGTGATTAATCGGCTATAATAGATCCATTAATTAATCATCAGGATTTTATTTTCTTGAAGGGTAAAAGTCAGTGAAAACATACACAGCAGAAAAATACAGTTTTTGACCTGGCCACAAAGAAGCATGCCTTTTAGAGTAGTAAGGCAGGCAGCATCTAAAAGGACTGAATTTCTCAGAAATGCCCAAGACAACTAAGTGTCCAGAGAAGCCAGCAGTAGCCCTTCAGGAAGGTAAAAAGCAGTCTCAACGATAGAAACGGAAGGTCTTCACGTTGGTGAGAGCGCAGAGATATGACCACGGAACTAAGGCAGGGGATTTCAGGTCTGAGCCGAGGGGCACCAGCATGCTTAGAGACTTTCCTTTGTAGGAAGCCATTTATCAGCGGTTCTTTGGAAAACATGGTATCATTAAAACACATTGAAATAATCACTTGTGTGAAGGAGCCTTCTCCAGTATCCAAACGGGAAGCCTAAAACTACCCTCTCCTGTCTCTCCTCCATGGGCAAGGTTCAGTGAGTCATTCTAGAACTTGGGGTCTTTTCTTCTAATCAAAGCTTGTAGGGAAAATATTTCCTCAATGAAATTGGCTGATTAAACATGGCAGGGATACGCTATTAAAGTTTTAGCATTTCCACTTTCATATAAATCATTGGATTTATGAAAATGGTGTCATGGAACTGGATTGCTGTCATAAATTCATATAATATGAAACAAATTATAATGATTTGATAAAGACAAAGTATAAGTCTTAAATATTCAATATAATTTTTATTATTTTCTTTCAGATTATCCAACTCCTAATGTCAAAGACATTACCTCATATAAAAGAAAGCATTCAAAGGAAGTTACTCTGACTGGGTTCAAGTCTCCCTTCAATGGTCAGTTAAAAATTCTCTATGAAAATGGTGCTTATTGTCTCTAAAAATCCAATGAATTAAAAAAAATCTTTTTTTTGAGATCATAATATAATTACATCATTCTCCCCCTCCTTATTCTTCCTCCAGACTTTCCCATGCCCACCTCCTTGCTCTCTTTCAAATTCATGACCTCTTCATTCAGTAATTATTGCTACATATATATAAGTATATGCATATATATTACTAAGATAACCATCTCAGTTTGTAGGTTACTTGTATGCGTGTTTTCAAGACTGGCCATTTGGTATTGGATGACCAGTTAATGTGCTCTGTCTTGGGGAAGAGTATTTTTTCCAGTTCTCAGCATTCCTTAACTGCCTGTCGTTCTTTAGGCAGGATTGAAGCTTGCTGGGCTCCCCACCCCCATCCACATTAGCATATCCAATGAATTGCTAATCTTTCCTTCCCAGGAGACCTAGTCTATGCTGTCCTGTGCATGATTGTTACCTGTGGACTTCTTTTCTTGGTGATGCTCAAGCTGAGGTAAGTAAATGTAACTCAAAAGGGAGGGAATGGACAATACCAGGACCTGAGAATGAAGGTGTTCAATACAGCTTTATGTGGGATCGGTCTATGGAAACATCATTTAGACTTCACATGTAAGGGAAATGACCACAGGGGGTTGATTTCATGAAGAATTTACAGGTACAGAAGGATTATGGGTTCCTTCCAATTAAAATGTTTATCAGTATTCTCCCTAGGTTTTCCTACAGCAAACTAAACTATGATGTTTCCAGATGACATTATTTAGAAAAATAACCAACTCACATAAGACACATATTGTATAATTTAGTTACATTTATCTGAAGACCTATTCATCACTGTGGCTTCCTATATATTGACAAGTTTTGTTCAAGTTTTAATATATATTTATTAAAAGACATAGTCAATGAGGCCTCATGTCATACCAATACAAAGAGTGCCACCATCTGATATTATGTATTCTTTGCAAATATTTTTTTTTGCTGCTTTCGTTGCCAGAATATGTCAATTTCTCTATTTCTAAATCTCAGAATTTGAAAATATCTTAACTTCCTTAGTACTGACAATAGATAACTTGCTTACTTTTAATTAAAAAAAAACTGGGAGAGGATGCAGTTGGGATGTATTATATGAGAGAATCAATAAAAAGAAAAAAGTGTCATGCTCATTTGCTCATTCATTATACATGAATGCAAGTATATATTTAATTTGAGTATCAATAATCTTTATGTGTTTCTCTTTGACATTTGATAACTACAAATGAAAGTTTGCTCAATCAACTGCACAGTAAATGTACACATATTGCTTCCTCAGAAGCAAGCTAAGAAACCTAATTACTGGATTTGACAACCAGGCAGGAATAATAAAAAACCAAAGTGAGGAGGTAAACAGCCATAACAAGGGGCCACGTACATGGCGAATGGAATGGATGCTTTGCCCAAGGACACTCAAATTCATTTCTTTTTAAATGCAACAATGATTTTTTTAAATGAATCTACTTGGTTTCAACTCTTCTAATTATTTAACATTTTCTAAACATTTAGTTTAACATCTACCAAAACAAACTGACTGCTCCAAGACCTTAAACATTGTCTAAGAAGATATTCTATGAGTGTCAATATAATTTTTTGAAGTCCAAATAATTAAAAATCATTTTCTAAGGGAAGAAATGTGCAGTTAATTGACTTTCCTTTATATGGCTTTAAATATTTGGAAACACCACTCAGTCATTCTGCTTGCCTGGATATTCCACAACAATCACACTGTTTTGAAGGAACACAGTTTGCTAGCCCAATAAAACACCTAGAGAGATGGTTCTTGATTGTTACTTGTTATCAACACACGTCATACAAAGTTCACATTGGTTAAATGGGCTCATGAGGCCTCACATACAAAACTACACCACAGATAGACAATGCAGTGGAGTTCCCCATGAATTAGCTATAATTATATTTCTTCTTTGTTTGAACAAAAATGAACAATTCTTTTTCTAAAACATAGAGAGTGTTGTTATTATTAAACACAAAATCTTGAATTACTCTAGTATATATTTTATTGGTTTGTTTTGAGATTTTCTGTGGTACTGAGAATTGAGCTTAAGTAGACCAGTGCATGCTAAGGCAAGAGCTCTACCATTGAGTCACAGACTTAGCTGTAATGGATATATTTAAGATAAATTATTCATATTATTAAGTAAAAATTATTTCCCACGTAATTTAAAATTTACTGTGTTCTATAATAAGACCCAAAATTAAGAACATGGCTAAAATGAAATAATTTTTTTATGAACAGAAAAGAATAAAACACACACCATCAACCACACAGCCTCCTCCGCCTACCCCCAAAATAGAATTAGAGAATACCCCTAAGAGATTTCAGTCATTTGTACCCAGCAGCCTGTCTAACCACTGTTGATACTTACCCTTAGGCACTATGAAGAGCTTCACGTGTGTTTTATGTAGTCATACTAAATTAAAATAGCCTGTCTTAAAATAAATTTCCAAGAAATTTGTAGTTTTAAACTCACATACTTAAAAATAGGCCATTAAATATGATTACTTGGAAACCATAGTGAATATATGGTAGTCCTCAAAGAGGCCTTAGAATATTCCACTCTTGAAACTTTGCATTCAGGAACTTCATTATCCTCATCCCTCAACAAAGACTCCATCCCCAAACATAAGCATGCACATTTGTGATCATCTGACACTAACATATGGACTTTTTCTCTTATTTTTCCATAGGATATCAAGTAAAAAAAGAGATCCCTCACCTATGGAAATAGCTGGAGGTGTCATCACTCAGTGAGCCACAGATCACTATCAAGTCCAAGTTTTTGTAGTAAACCAATGGAGAATTACATTTGCCAATAATACGATTTAAGATGGATTTGATGATATTCAGTCATTATATACAACAATGCCTGGCACAGTAATGTAGCATAATCACCACAGATCTGCTCTTTTTCCTAAAAATATTTGAGTAAATACTTGTAGTGATGTCATAACTAGTTGATAACATTTCCTTTGGAGACAAAAAGTACCATCTAAAAAGGTAGCATTTTTTTTTTTGCTTGAATGATATCAGTGCAAATATCAAATTTTCTCATAATATGATTTAATGTAGTTAGAGTATGTATTTTTTTCTGAGCAATTATATAGTTTCCCATTAACTTGATCAAATGAAAATGCTAATGAGAATGCTGAATATATTTGTTATTTGCATATTCTTACTTTGTGTATAATCATTAAACAAATCATTAACATTAAACATATTTAGTTAGATGATTGGTTCTAAAAATAAAAACTGACACCTTATGAATTTTATAATTTAAATCGTATTGAATTTTACTTTTAGTTTAGTGTCTTAATGTCCATAAACACATAAAGCAACTACAGTGACTGCGAAAAGTCACCCCAATAATGATGTATTTTGTGAATTTAATTTTTCTTTGCTGATTAATCATCATGAAATTCTGTAATAATAAAGCCATACTTACATTGCCATTTTCTATAGTTTTTTTCTACATTGCTACTTTGTTCTGGCTTGTCATCAGTGTAACTGTATTTGAAAATATATCTACCAATTAATGAATATACACTTTACAAATGCATACAATCACATCAGCCTTCACTGTTCAGAATCTTAAGGTTGTATTGCTCAGTCACACAAAACATAAATATTTAATAACCCAAGGACACCATGCTAGTAATTAAAGATACATTTGCAATTGAAGATAAAATATTTTTCTCTTGCTTGGTCTCATTTTTTATTAATTAAAGTACCTACATTAAATTAAACTTGAACCTAACATTTGGCTCTGTATATTTAGGGCAACTAAAAAGCAGTACTTTACATTTGAAAGCAGGCAAGTAAGACTTGGTAAATCTTGGTACCATAAAGTTTACCATAAAAATTGGTAACCATAAAGGATTGTGGACAGCCTACTGCAGTGGTTCTCAACCTGTGGGTCACGACCAACCTGTGGGTCATGACCCTTTTCGATCTTTAAAAAATAAACAGGCAAATAAAAACAAAAAACCCCCTCCCAACAAAACCTAGGAAACACACATGTATAGATTCATATACAGTAAGAAGTAAAAACTATAAAAATACAAAATTGAAAACCATAATCTACAATCACAAGACCAGTGAGGTAAATAAATGCTTAAACAAGCAATATGAGACACACATAAAAAACATCCACGAAAATACCTATGATTTCCTTTTGTGTTGATCATGATGCCTACTGCTAGGCATGGGGTCTGCTCTTGAGTGTGACTTGTAAACCCACTAGAGAAAACTAATGTTTCTATTTCCAAACTGTTGTCATTAAGAGATAGCTTCTTGGTTAGGGATGGGAAACTTTGTCTTCTTGGCCCTCTCAGCACTGGAGCCCCATCTAGCTTGGACCTGTGCAAATCCTGTGCATGCTCTCACAGTTTCCAAAAGTTCATATGGACATCAGTCCTGCTGAATCTGGAAGACATGGTTTCCTAGGTGTCCTCCATCCCCTCTGGTTCTTACAATTTTTCTGCTTTCTTTTCTGCCTAGTTCCCTGAGCCCTTCTCAGTGGGAAGACATCCCATTTGGGAGTGAAAGTGCCAAGGTCCCTACACTTTTTCACATTGTCTGCTTTTGGGTCTCTGTATTACTCTCCACCTACTACAGGAGGATGCTTCACTGATGATGGCTGTTAGGAGTCATTGTGTCGCTACTAAAACAGAATCTTATTTCCTGGATAAGAAGAGCAACAAGACAGGGCAACAGCAGAAGGACACAGCATCAAATACTTTAGAAAATTTAAAGTCACCTGTCTCTAGAACATGGTACCTAGCTATTGAGGGAATAGATGTCAGAAACACAAAGACCCTTTAGGTCTAAAGACTCACCATAAATGTTACATATCATGGCTCTCTTGTCAACCCCATCATTTCTTCTGTCCTTGGGAATACCTTTTAGAAACATGCCTCCTCTGCGCTGGGCTAAGGACCCTTGCTCCGTGTCTTCCCAACACTTACTTCTCTTTGCCTTAGACCACTACATCTCACTATAACAATTTCTGCATTGTTTTTCCCAATAAATTGCAACTCTTGGTGACTGCATCTGTGGTTTCCATTCCTGTCCCTCAGCCTGCCATCGCATGGCTATTGCCTACTTAAAGAGCCTGCATAACATTAGATCCATTATTTTCAGTCATGGGGCTGTGGCTTACAAGTTCCCTTTGGAAGGAATTGTAGACAGTTAAGAGTTACTAGAGGGAGGGCTTATAAAGTTGCTCCCAAAGGGCGTATAGATGCTTAACCATTACTGGGGCGGAGAAGTCTTTCCTCAGCGGTGTAGCTGCCTATAAGCCTCCCATGTGTCTGTGAGCACACTTTCACCCACACTCTTGTAAGTAGTCCTAGTTAAAATCTTTCTTTCACCAAGCCCTCTCTTTGGTCTGTTGTTCGTATCCTATCTGGGATACATAGATATTTTCATGTCTCCCCAGAAAAAATTCACACAAGAACAAGTTTCAAACAAGGGAATGATTTCTGAATGAATAAAAGTGAACCAGCAATAAATGTAAACAATGGATGGGAAAAGTCTAAGTATTATCTCTAAAGTGGACTGCGATATTGAACTAATAGGAATTAAACGTCTGCAGTGATTAATTTGTTCAACACCCATTTACTGAGCACATACTAAACATCAGTCAGTGTACTAAGAACTGGAGGTGCAATTCTGAACACATTAGATCTAAACAAACCCCTCAAACATTTGAAAAATAAAGAAGCACACAAGAATTGTGTATTTGAAGGCCTGTGGTACATATGTAACAAAAGCAGAAGTAAAGTAGTCTGGAAGGAAAGGAAGACTAAAGGAGAGGAAGGAGAAGAAGGAGGAGGAACAGGCAGGAAGAATAGGCTTAATGTATAGTACAGACATATATAATTTAAAAAAAAAATTAAAAATCAAAAGTTTATAAGCCAATTTCTTAGAAGTGATCAATATCACAAAGAAATGAATAGGTTGGAATGATCATATGATACTAACAAGAGAAATTATAGATGTCATATGAGAAAATTGATGTTCTTCATAAATAGTACTTAAAATGGAAAAGAACTTGGGATTAGGTATTTGTAGGAAGTTGAAGTTATGAGGATTGTTTTAAAAATATTCATTAAAATAGGCTTTTGATGCCGATAGTTCCACCATGGTGCCATTTGGAAAACTACTGTACACATGGGAGAATGAGACTAGGATTGAAAGTCCAGTGTGCCACCTTCATCTTCAGAATTATCCTACCTCTCTCCATCACACAGTATGGGTTTTCTGACCTTACTCTTTCAGTTGAGCTTATCCAACAGAGAAAAATGACATATTGAATACCTCAAGGTATCATCCTAGGCTCTCCTTTTTCCATTAACATTCTATCACTGTGGAAATTTCTACATGAATCTGTCCTTCTGAATTCCAAAAACACTTACTTCGTCTCTTTTTCCTCTCATGCTTGTGATACTCACAGCTAACTTGTTACTAATCCTGAGTCTGTACAGCTCATTGTGGTTTTCTTTCAACTACTCAAACAGGAATGACGACTCCTTAAATCAAGAATTCTTAAAGGTCATGAGATAACTTGGAATGTAGTCCATCTATTTCTTACTGGTTCTCTTCTTGATGATAACTCCATGTATGAACTAACTGATTTTCAAACACCTTCAGGATATCCATGCGGAGTTATCTAACATTCAAGCAGAAAATATGCTGAATTAGATCTGAGCTGGATCCACTAAATTTTGAGTTTTCCACTACCTTCCACCTACCCCTCTGATTACCACAGAAAAGGCTGCTTCACACAGAATACTTACTGTATTCTCCTCACTTTTGAGAATCTTAACAGTGATGAAGTTCTCTCAAGAACTGTTTTAGTTACTTTTCTATCACTATGAAGAGACAACATGACCAAAATACCTCATAAAAGAAAAGGTTTATTGGGCCTCACAGTTCCAGAGGGTTAGAAGTGCATGATTATCATGGCAGGGAACATGGCATTAGGCAGGCATGGTGCTGGAGCAGTAGCTGGGCTCTCACATCCTGATCCATACATACAAGGCAGAAAAAAAAGAGAAACCTAACTGGAAATGTCATGGACTTTTGAAACCTAAAAGCCAACCCCTAGTGACATACTTTCTCCAACAAGGCCACACTTGCTAATCCTTCCTAACCAATTCTACCAACTGGGGAACCAATCTTTCAGATATACAAGCCCGTGGCCTCATTCAAACCACCACATTCAAACCATCTGACTTGTCCAGTAATAGGATTTTTTTTCCTTCTGCCTGCTTCTGCATATTTACTCTGGGTCTGCTTTCCTCTACATTTCCTCTCATGAATTTCCCCAGGATCTCCTGAGGAGTTAACAGTTACAAGCTACCACTTAGCAAGGTCTCTTGGGGGAAAAGTTTAAGGCAGCAGTGAATCAGGGACTTCGTTGTCACTACAAAGCTACAGCTCATTTGTATTTCCTTGTTTGTCTTTTTTTTTAATTTGTCACTCTATAAAAAATATATATGTGACTATTGTCACTTACATAAAAACTGATACAAATTAATGGTGAATAGAATATACCCTTTTTTATTTGTTTTCTAAACTACTCACAATCGTAAGCCTAGAAAACTCAAAAGTAAAATCTAAAGGACAGTGTCTTCATTTCTTCTCACATCCCTATCAGCCCGGCTTGCTCTCAGTCTCCACTCTCCTTAGAACTTGAGTGAGAACTATCTGAACTGAATGAGGCATGGTACATGAGTTTCCTAAGCTGTTCCCCAATTGCTTCTCTGAGGCATCAATGTTTGTTCAGATCACACTGACTGCACCCCAAGAATAAGCTAGTAGAATGATTGTCACCACAGTCTGCTCCGTCGATGAACCTATTGTGATAGGTACACACTTAATCAGATGTTGGTAGTGCTCACTGCTTTCAGTAACTGTCTATAAAAACTCCCACAGGCCTTTAATCACAGAGGCTTGAAGTTTTAGTTTAGAAGACTGGCAGGCTTAAATGTAAAGATACAGTTTCATTATGTTATGGAATTTTTCTGTCTAGCTTATGTAATTATGTTATCTATAAAATGTAATGTATGATTTTATGCTGAGTGTAATGGATATCTGGTATTTTCAGTTACAATAGAGATATAATCAGATAAAATATTTTCTAAAGCTTGTATATCTAACAGCAACTATAGAAACTATCTGAAGTAAATTATCCATTCTTAAATCTCAAGTTTGTTTTGGATACACGCTCTCAGTGCAAATTAAGCATAGTCTTTGATTCACAAGTAAATGTTTTAAAATAAATATGGCATATGTTGTGGATTAAAAAGATTAAGAAAGACATAATATATCCTTTATTATGTTCTATAAAATGCTATTGATAGAAACTCTGCAGTGAGATGCAAATGGAATCAATGTTAAAATATTTCAAGGTGTTGCTGGGCAGTGGTGGTGC